ATCACTTAGCTATTTATCAGAATGTGGCTCACTAAAGAAATTAAACCCATCAAACAAGGGTCACAAATTATAAAACTGTATTTTTAAGTACACATAGATGTCATTTCAAAGTATATGCAACTGTTGACTACATATGGTATCTGCAAGTGTACAGGCCTACCACATATGATTTTAACTTTAAACATATACACATATATACACAAATTTTAACGCATAATTTGTATACTTTGAAATATGAAATGTGCTTAATCATGTTTGTGTGGCATGTATGGTTTTTTTTTTTCTTTTTTACAATATAAGCTCAGGGGAGGTCAGCTCAACTGCCCTGCTTCATAGCTGTTGCTAAGTAACTGCTTTAGACATCTCCCCTACTGTGATGCTCTGACACATATTTAAAACCAGCACTCTTCACTTCTACAGCAGCGGCATGATGCAACATGATACAACCTGGCCACAATATAAAAAGGGCTCTGAATCGATAGAGGAAAAAGCAGTGTCATTACTGACCCCAGAGAAAAAGATACACCAGGAAATTTCACACTGGCAGTGTACACGCGCTTTAAGGCACGTCTTAAATACACACTGACCAGACTAGGACATCTATTTTGTATTTTAGCCTTTCGTGAAGAGAAGCACGCTGACCTCTAATCTAAATGAGGTTACCTCTGTTGTCAACAGAAGATAAAGAGGAGAACTTTCTAAAGCCAGCAATGGACACGTAACGGTACCCACTAGCGCCAAGATGTGCTATGTTTATCAATTTGAATCAATATGACTGAAGTAAGTTTTACATTATTAACCAGTAAAAAGTTCAATGATGTTAAATAATCAAATGCAATGCAAGATGAAGAATCAATATCTGTAGTAAAGAATGGAGAATGAAGCCATGATGTCTGACATTTAACTTCAAGTAGTTCTAAACAAGTATACTCAGACTGCCTGCTATTAGTGGGCACTATGCTCTCAATCCATTTAATACTGCATTCTTTCAGTGTAATAAACCAAAGCATCAAAGCAACGCTCTTGTCCAGTGTCCATTAAACTACCTGATCTGAGATGTTAATGGGAAACTCTGGTATTTTTGAACCTGGACTCTATTTTCCCATGCTTTTGTGTCTATGAAACTAATGGAGGCAACATTTTTTTTAAAAATTGGTCCCGTATTGAGAGAGACTGCTGTGGTGAAACAGGCTACAATACCAACCCTTATGAGCAATTGTGCACCATCAATTTACATCTATTAAAAGTGCAGGCTCAGATTGTTATTAGAAGTGTCTGACAACATTATGTAAAAGGTCCTACAGAGAAATGAAACAGTTTTCTTAACCTTTCTGTGATCTCATCTGTTTGCGAAGTCTTGTTCTGATTGTGGTGGACTTTTCCACATTGTCAAAATCAGCTATATGTTCAGCAATGACACTGAAACTATTTTAGATAACACAATATATGCTTTTTGTATCTCAACACCACAAATTCTTTTCAGCACTCCTCTATCCAAGGCCCAATTGCAATCCTCCCCTTGGCCCTACCACTCCATTTTGAGTGCTGCTGCTTGGTTAGGGTATCCTTTTTCTTCGGGGGATCAAGGGGCAGTGGTACAAGAAAATTTCCAGATTGCTTTGGGATCAGCAGCAGTCTGAATGTAAACAAGCAACATGGCTGCTACATGGCAGGGAAAGAAGCCCATACATTTAAGTTTATCTTTACAAATTGCCATGAAAAAATGTTGAAATCTGTCAGGACATCTTAGTTTAATGTAAACATAAAGGAATGTGTAATTTGATTGATTTATCAAGCATTTCAGAGAAACTGCTACTGTGTCAGACGTTTCTTTTAGCTAACTATTTCAACATTTAATCATTACTTTTAGCTAACGCAAGCTATTTGAACCATTTGTCAGTTACCTTAAGCTATCTGTTTCTACCGTTTATTCATCAGTTTTAGCTACCTAATGCTACTGATGAAGTAACAAGTGCCATCCTATTTCTTAGTTTAAGACTTCAAACCCAACCCCTTGTGGCTCTGCTCAGAAGGGCCACTACTCAGTCCAGGGCTCTCAAACTTGGCAGGGACTTCTCCTTGAGCTAGACCTGGTCACAATAACAGCGAAAAGTAAGGAAAAATGTTTCATTTCTCTGTAGGGTCTTTATCACAATGATGTCAGACACTCCAAATAACAATCTAAACCTGTCATTGGCAAAAACAAGCAGTTTTAATAGACATTAATTAACTGTGCACAATTTCCCGCAGAGATTCAATTGCAGCCTGTTTTGCTGCTGTAGCTGCAGCGGTCTCTTTCTATACTGGACCAATTTCAAAAATTGCTGTCTCAATTAGTCACTTAGACACAAAAACATGGGAAAATAGATTGAATGACACAAAGTGGGTACATGCATACCGCTGTGCCACAAAGGCAGGGGATGTAAATCATAAACAGAGTGTACGTGTATTGTGGTAAATAGGTCAGGACATGCAGGGCATTTGCACAGAGAGAGAGAGGCAGAGGCAGAGAGGACGGGTGGCTTTAGGCAGAATTTGCTCCTCTCAGAGTAGAGCTTTCTCCTTTCTGTGTAATACAAACTCACATTACATGCATGTGTGATTACACACACAAACCACACACTCGCACAAACACTCCCTGCTCGCACCATCATCGTCTTCACTAAACACCCAGCCTTCAACCTAGCTGTAACACCTGGCAACTGAAAAAGAACCTTTCAAGGTAAAAACTGACAAAATAATATCTCAACTTTGGAGAAATGTCATCCACTTTCTTCTGCTGTTAGGGATTTTCAAGAAAGAAGTGCAGAAGTGCAGACAGACAGACACACACACACACACACACACACACACACACACACACACAGACACACACACACACAAACTGAGTGTGGTCTGATCATGTGATATCTGTCCTATCATTCCATTGGCTGGTTGGCCTGTTCTGCTCCACAGGCCACAACATAATAGGAAGTGTGCATCAATCTTTAATGTGACATTTAACACAGGCACACAAAAGTGCACACACGCAAACACAAACACACAAGCACACACACTTTCACACACAGAGCGGATGTTGTTTGAGTTAATTGACCACATGTAAATGCTGACAGGAATATATTTGCACTTCCAAGATGTCTGCCATGATGAGAAATAACTTAGAGCTGCAACTCTCTCTCTCTGCATCCTTTCTTGCTCTCTCTTCACTTCTGACTTACTGACTCACTCTTTACCGCGCCTGTTTGGTCTCATTTGTTTTGCGGCCTGTATCATTCAATCATTTTAATGTGTTTTCTTTGTTAAAGCCTCTGTTTAAACTCCTCTTAAACTTCCCTTGCCTCGTCTCTCTGTATCTTCTCCTTCTTCAGTTTCCCATGCTCTCCTTCTCCTGTGCGTCTGCATATGATTTGCTTCTACATACTTATTTCAACTAGCTAATTCCCATTCAAATGGTGCATTAGTCTCATCTTTGTTTGACAATTGCCTCTAAATTCTAAGTAAGAAATAATTACCTTAATTAACTAACAAACAATGCCAGTAACTGATCCGAGTAATATAGCAGACATCCAAAGGAAAGCAAGCTTTTGCATAACTTTTCCTGAATGAATATCTTGAGGGAATTAGCATATTTTATGCTTTTCCCCATGAAATATTCAATTTCCTGTTGTCATATGACTTAAAGTATATTGGTTTGGTGCAGCCAAGAATGCAGTTTAATATGAATTCATGTTATAAAATGGTCAGTGTATAAACCTAAGATAAACAGATTCACTACAACCATGGTTTGACCCTATAAGAGTGGTGTACATCAGTTGTGGAATATAAAAAGGTACATTTACTCAAGTACTTTACTTAAGTACAAATCTGAGGTACTTATAATTGACTTGTGTCTTCTTTCTTTTCATACAACTTTCTATTTCTCCTCCACAACATTTCAGAGGGGAAAATTTTACTTTTTACTGATGTTGGCATCTTTAGTTACTAATGACTTTACAGATTTAGTCTTTTGCATATACAAAATATGAAGATCTTATCAAATATGACACTTTCTTATTAATTAGTCTACCCAACAGCAGCCTATACAGGAATACAACTGAAACAATTAGACAATTATGCAATTAGCAACAAAGACATACGACTTCATCTGTCACTCAACCTTAATTTCTCATTATGTCAGTGTGTAATTTTACAGGATGTAAGGTGTACAATTAAACAAGGGCTACATGCAAGAACATGGCACTTCAGGGAAATGACTCCCCCACCTTCCTCTCTCTCTCTCTCTCTCTGTCTTTCCTTTGCTGTGTTTCTCCAGCTGTCTCTCTCTCTCTCCACCCACACACAGGCACTCAGTATAAATCAGGCCCTGCACTTGTAATGGTGATTGACTGTGTGTCGTAATAGCTTGTGTATGATCGCATTTAGAAGATTATAAATAAATAGTGGTCTGTGTAAGTGTGTGTTTGAGTGCATGTTTTTTTTTTATTATCTTTTATGGTGGGTGGATTAAGAGGGGTTGGACAAGGTAATGACTAATGTATCGATCCGGACTTAGAAAATCTGGACTCAGCTGGGCAGGTGAAATACACAGTTATACACACACGCTTGCTACTGTGCTGAGTCAGTGATATGGTATTTCATAGGGGGCTAAACAAACACCACTGCATTCACACACACCCCATTTTGTCCTATCGCTTACTGTAAACACACACCTACACATGCCCACAACCAACAAAAGGACTGCAATGTGCTCAAACTCAGTTTATCTGATTTCTAAGCTGACAAATAGAATGTGACATTACTGTCTGATATTGGTGGTTGTTTAAAAATATACCTACCTCATACCTTTAATTTGTCATTTTAAACAACTCCCCTTAATACTCGCACACACTAGGGCTGGGTGATATCACCTGAGATCACAGATTCACATTTCCTGCAACTTCCAATATATCCCCACTCTCTCAGTCTGCCCCCGACACAAACAAATGACCACATGTACGTACTATTGCGCTGAATCGTTGAGCTGGTACTCGCGGGCGCGGCTGAAACACTCCTGGATGCCTGAGTCGGACCACAGGCGCATCATGGCGGACAGCAGCTCGGCAGAGTAAGGCTCTGTGTCCTCCATACGACTGACCACATCGCACACCATCTTAGCATCCGCCTGGAGGAAACACAAGAGGGGAGAGTGCAGGAGGTCAGTATTCTCTAAACTCTAAAGGTGCTGTAATGGCATCACCACCCAAAACATAAGTATAATCATTGTAAACAAACATAAGCACCACAGAGAGACTGTCAGCCTGTACAATGCATTTTAAACAGTGTGCCACTGGATACACAGACATTATTTGTTCAAGTACACTACAGTATGACAAATACTTGTCAGTGTATGTGCGATATGAATATGCAGAACTATGACAAAAACCAGAAGAGGAAGAACAATGAGCAGGAGTTAACAAGGATAGGGGATGAAAAGGAGAGAAGAGGTGTGAGGTAGCAACAATTACAGAAAGCGATTACAGGAGATGACACAAGAGGAGAACAAGATTAGGGAGAGAGAGAAAAGAATAAGAGCATTTCCAGCTTCCAATGGTCCATTTATTCTCCTGGTGAAAAGCCTTTACAAAAGCATCATTTAAAACCCATGTGTCATTACAAACCGCGAGTCAGTACAGATGCAGAAAGGCATCAGAAAGCTACTGCTGTTCATGCAGAGGCCTGAGGTCAAATACTGTTTTAATCTCATCAAACCGCAATGTGGGCAAACCTTTGCAAAGATGCTCTAAAAATCATGCCAGCTGGACTTGGACAAAGGTAAAGCTTTTTAGGGGTCTTTTGTTTTAGCTGAAGAAGGCCAGAGCGGAGACTGTTTTCATGCAGCAGTGATCTGGATTTGGTTCCTTCAGGGGCAGAGACTGCTGGTCGGCACTGTGCTCTGAGGCCGATAAATCAGCTGCTGTTAGCTGACACAGCTGGGAAGGAATAACCGTCTTAATACAAAAAGCTGTTAAGTTCATATGAACCAGTGTTGTCACAGTACTGGAATTCCTTCTTTTGATGCAACACCTTCAAAAATATTGATATTCAATACTGTTTAAACAAGGGCTGTGCTATGTCAGGAAAACGTGATATGTGATAACTTGGTTGAATGTTTGGATGATGATATGTCTTGAGATAAATAAACAAATATTAAAGTTTACAGTTTTAACGTCTTCCTGCTTTAGGGTTCTTGCTGCTAACACAGACCCCAGACAATGAACAGCCTCTGCATACTGACTAAAAAAAAGAAATGCGGCGCCCACAGGTGGCCATTTGAATGGGTCCCCTGTGAATTTTTTTTGGGGGGGCAAATTGTTGTGTTAAACTTGTGTTTTATGTTCAGGTACGTTTAAAATGTGTCTGATACTTAAATAAAATCCCAAATCTGAAAACTTTATTTACAAAACTGTATATGTATCATCTTGAGCTGAGTTTAGAGAGCATCAAAATCATTTACCCAGTGTCAAGCAAATTAAATGTGATATTGGATTGTGGTATAGATAATCCCACAGAAACGTGATTTCTATGGACAATTTATTAAAACATAAATAAGTAACTGCATAAATGTAATAGTTCGTGAGGTGAGAAAATGGTGGCCACCGGTAAAAATATTTTTTCAACCAGGGCATGTTCTGTGGACAGTAAAACATCAATGGGTCATCATCGCCATGAATCAATACAGTATCTATCAATGGCATTATTCAGGGAAAAAAAAAAGTGGCACATCCCCTGAACGGGAAAGCACCATCGTCACTGACACGAGTGAATACACCATCTCCTGTCACAGCTGACGTTGCAATGTAAGACAACGGGAATGTAGTAATATCCTATATATTAGTGAATTCAGTTGTATTTTATGAATCTTAAAACACATGGTTATTGTCTGCCGGCGGTCCCTGGGCACCTCTGTGCTGCCCCGCCATCTTTACCAGGAAGCAGCGGTGCACCGAGCTTCAGAGAGCCAGGGATGAGAGCAGGTGGGCGGGCAGACAGGTGTCAGATCTGTGCAGAGCACCAGAACAAAAGCACTGACACATCACTGACAGTATAATAATTACACCTAAAACACAAGTTTCAATCTCAGCGGTTTCTGTGACATAAGAAATACTTCAAAAAATAGTTAAGTCACCTGACGACACTGTTTCAACACGAACTGGTTGTTCACAACTACCATGCATACATTGACATGCAGCATGTGAATATACTGTTTATCCCAGTTCAAGCTGTATTTTGTGATACATTTATTGCACATGTTGATATTGCGATGAAGGTAAATTTTTGATATATTGTGCAGAACTAATTGAAACCATTTCAAATATTCATTATCGATCAATAAGTCAATTTTTGACCACACTTATACAATCATAGTCCTGCCATTAAAGTGCTTAAGTTACTACATATCATATAAAGAAACTATTAGCAATATTGTGTTGATTATTATAGACAGGGATGGTATTGGTGGAATTCAATACTGTACCCTTTCCTGTAAAGGTTAAAAAATCATGTCTTGTTATTGCATACATGAGTGTAACACGATCACTTGTGGAACATTACATTTCTTCTGTTTGATTTAAATAAGACATGTCATGCTCTGTGTTTATGGAAAATCTTGTCAGCCAATTAGCTATGAGTAAACCAGCCGCAGAGATGTCTTTTAGATTTGGCTGCCATCACCAGCATCCTGTCTGAATCCAGTGGTTGATCCCCGCCCCTCATCTCTCCTTTGCTCTTTGTTGTTATTGATTTCTCTTCCGAGCACTGACCTCCTACATGATCATTCTCGCTTACAGTAATATTGCCAGGACCCTGACCTTTGTCCTCTTAATATTTGGTGGCTTCAAATGCTGACACAACACAACAGCTGCAAATACATGTATCTACCCTTCTTTGCTTTGCAGTTGATCTTAAATAAAAATCTATCAAGAAGACATTTGTGGTCAGGGACTTATTTTGCTTTGTGTATGTGAGTACAGTTTTGTTAAGTTATAAAATCCTTCCTCACAGTGTCAAAGTACATTCCTGTATGTCAGTCCAAAAAATACTCGATCAGGGACCATTATATAAGAAATGCATTACTGATTCTGACTCCACATTAAAAATGTACAGCTGTTGTAGACAACAGAATATCTTCAAATTGCCTTCGAATGAAAATTATGCAAAATCATATAATGGATTTGTCTCATATTAATTTAAATCCAACATTAGGGAAGACGATAACCATGCCATCTTCTATACGTTCTCTGGTTGTGAAAAGAACTGCCTTTAGAGGACTTTTATCACGATGCTGCTCTGAGACAGCTCTTTGTATTTAAAGATATTACCATATCAGATATCAGAAACCCAAAAATAGATAGCATTCAGTTCTTCTTCCTATAATTTATGCTCTAACTGTTGATCCTAATTTTACAGTTGTTACAAGTAATGCCCTAATGTGGGAAAAATTAAAAACATAACACAATAAGATAATAAAGCTGGCTGATAAAACTGTGATAGCTTTATTGGCAGTTTAGCAATATAGTTGCATCCCATTAGAAGCTTTAAACCACCTATTCCTTTTGAATTTAAGAAATGTATACTTTAAAACAATACAGTCTAAAATGTATAATCCCCCTTGTGCATAACAGACCAGTAATGTTACATCAAACTGACAGTGGCTCTAAAGCCCTGAGACAGCAAGCTTGAAATCTGAGACTCAAATATACAAATAATGGATCAACAGAGCTCAGCATACTTCACTACAGTTTCAGTCTACAAGTACTTCTATAAATGTGATATTCTCATCACTGTGGGCTCAGAAACATGTGAGTCAGCAAAATGAAATATAAAACAGAGTAAACACAGGTAAAATACATAAACATGCAACACTATACCGGGCTAACTCCCTAACTGGAACAATATGTCATCAGCTCTCATGTCCTAAAGACTGAAATACTTTCAACAATGAAACAGTATAGTGTCAGGATGAGTGTTGTTATTCCTTTACTGTAATTTTATCCAGGCATTATTGTTACACTGCACAGCACTCAGGCTGAAATTAATAAAACCGGAGTCATGATCTGTTTCAGTTTCCACGTACCCCTGACATTCCCAGCATGCCAAACGATCAGAAAGAGATCATAACAGATTATGTGAGATATACTCATCCAGTAGCAACCTCATTAAAACTCACTCATTTACTGAGGGATTTCACCAAGGTGCTAGGCTAACCCCACATTCACTTAGAAAGTTCAGGAAGCTAATGACGACCACAAAGACTTCACCAGCGGACAGAGAGTGATTTCACAATGATGCTTGCTGGTAAAATGTTATTGTACAGGATGTTACAACATAGTTACTCAAAGTTTACAAAGGCTTCATTCATTTCTCCAGATTCAGATGTAGACTTTGTCTGTCTATGTCCACTGAAGAATGGAAAAGGCATCTCCTTCTTTCATCTTGCTTTTGTTTTCTTTCTTTCTTTCCTTCCCTTATTATGCAGATACCTTTTTCTTTTCCCTTCCTTGCCCTCTTTCTTTTCCCATCTTTCCCTGAGGGGAACATTTTTACACACACGCCAGAGTACTGAACAAAGTACAAAATTGGTCTGATATTGGCGCTAGATGAAAGGTCAGGGGATTACCAAAGTAATTCATCATCATCTAGTAACCAATCATGAATGTCCATGCAAAATTTTGTGCCAATCTATCCGGTAGATATTGACATATTCCATATGATAAGTTAAAACTTTGACCTGACAGTGCAGTAGAGAGAGTCAGAGGATCACCAAAGTCATTAAGCTTCATCATCTGGGGACCTCCAATATCTGTTGCAAATTTTGTGGCAACAATTCATTAGCTTTTGCAATATTTTATTCTGAACCACAAATGTCAACCTCATGGTGCTACTAAAGTTTAAGTCAGGGAATGACAAAGCTTTGTAGGAATCGACCTCTTGGTACTATGAATATTTGCATAAAATCTTAAGACAATCCATCACATGGTTGTTAAGATATTTCAGTTTGGACCAGAGTGGTGGACTGACCACAGAAATTGCCATCCCCAGAGACATTCAATGTGCATGGCATAAAAACAAGTGAAATGCAGCCACCACACACCTGGTGATGAACACCTGTCTGTATCTGTTCAT